TAATAGATAATAATAGATTACAGACGACGTCAAAATGTGATAAAAACAACAAAGTGGCACACGAGCCGTTAGGCGAGAGTGTCAGCGATGTACTTAACACATTTTAACGTCTTCTATGATCTGTTGCTGAACAGATGCACGGCAACATGAAATGAATCTTCTTTTGTATAATAACGAGACAACAAGAAATATGTTACTGACGTCATCGATACGTCTGTCCTCCAAGAGATCATAAGTAAATACCAATCAAAATGCAAGAAAGATTCGACATATTATATAAAACTCGATACAAACACGGAAAGTGTTTTATTAATAAATGATTTATAACCTAGGCGAAACGATACTCCTAATCCTAATTACTTCATGCTACGACATGGGCCTCGTGTGTGAACCAATTTGGCCTGTGTGGGTCAAGACAGACAAGGAACAAGACAGACAAGATACCTTTTTAATATGAACTGACACATTTTGATCAACTGTTTCATTCTTTTCAGCTGATGCCCTCCGGTGCTTCTCGTGCCACTACGACACCTCGCTAAACAGCACCTTGTGTGAAACCACTACTGAAAATTGCACGGCGGATTTGAAATTCTGCCTCACTCAGACGGAGGGGAGACACGACGGGAGCAAAGTGTTCACCAGAGGTTGCGCTCCTTCTGTGGTTTGCGAGACAGATTACTGCGACGAACAAGTTATTCAGTTATTAGGACGAAAGTCATGCAGCATTACATGCTGCCAAGAGAATTTCTGCAACAGAGATGATTATATTCCACCAGTTGGAACCGGCCACGTGTCACATGTTCATTGGTTGTTGACACTTGCTTGTTTAATCGTAGCTACCTGGCTCTCGCTCTTTGGAATTGATAATTGAATCAGAGATGATGGTGGCCGAGACTCTGAAAGAACGAATGGTGTTTTAAGGGGGCTGGCGGGATTCAGATTTGAACGCAGTACTTTGGAATACAGGAAGCACAATTTAGAGAAATGAAAATAAGCTGGAGAACCCTGTTTAACCAGAGACGTAGGTCTGAATATCATAACATATTGTTAGTAATTATTTTGCTGGTGGTTGTGTGTCAGTAGTGACATTAAGCCAAATCGGTCATTTAGTCTTTAACGGTTAAAGTTGCTTTAACAACGGCGTAGAGGAATCTATTCCATGCATTTTATTTTTTCTTAAAAATAGTCATGTAATGAGAATGTGGATTTAAAAATATTGTTCACAGTTTATTTTCCGCAGTGATGTACTATTTTTTTATATTTTAGTTTCCTATAAAGAAAACTCTGGGCGACAGTTCCAGTAGTTCTATTTATTTTTAATATTGTTTTACATTAAAGATGCTTGTAAGTTATAATTGCCAATTGATGTTAAGAATAGGCCATACATTCTGTGATACGATTCTAGACGGAAGAGAAATGTTTTCTATCTTTTTATTTCCATGCGCGGCGTCACGATTTGTCCCAGTGTACCACAGAATTCAGTGTTTGTTATACGTGTATATGTCAAACCTAAGCCAACTTACTCTGTGGCGGAATCGAAGAGGCTGTTGACAATTTGCAAGTTACTGCACTGAAATAAACAGAGAATTATCATTATACTCTAGCTTAGTGTATCTTCTGGTTCCCACATACCCTACCCTATCCTACTCTACCCTACCCTAACCCAACCCAACCCCACCCCACCCTACCCTACCTCACCCCACTCTACCCTATCCTACCCTACCCCACCCCACCCTACCCTACCTATCCTATCCTTCCCTACCCTGCCACACCTTAACCTAACCATACACTACCTTACCCTACCATACCCTACTCTACCCTACCCTACCCTACCTATCCTATCCTTCCTTACCCTGCCACACCTTAACCTAACCAGACGCTACCCTACCCTACCCTACCCTATCTTACCCTACCCCACTTACCCTACCTTACCCTTCCCTATCCTTCCCTTCCCTGCCACACCTTAACCTAATCATACCCTACCCTACCCTACCCTACCTTACCCTACTTTACCCTACCCCACCCTACCCCATCCAGCCCTACTCTACCCGGCCCTTTTCTTTCCTACTCTGGTAAGGTCCCTGCACGTGAAACAAAGTTAAAGTATGTTTGAATTTTGTTTCAACGTCACTGAATTACACTCCACATGTTATGGTTTTGACGCCAAAATTCTTCGAGCATTAGAGTTTAGTTTTGGGCAGACTTGATCGTGTCTAGCTCTCCATGCCAGTAACAAATCATAAGAGTTGTGTGTAAACTGAGTTCCCCAATCTCTGCAGGGGCGTAACTAGAGGAGGGGTCCTGGGGTGCCGTGACCCCCTTTTGTAAGCAAGCAACCTGCAACAGGTGGCGAAAACGACATGACATTCTGATGATGAGTACCCTCACTTTGACACAGTGTGACTCCCCCTTTGAAAAATCTTGGCTACGCCCCTGCAAACGCAAAGGAGCATGAATGCAAGTTAAATATTTCTTTTCTTTCATGATGCCTGCCGTGCATATAAAATTTAATGAATATTGATATAAATTGTAATTGTGTCAGGTCAATGCGCCGAGCAGATACAATCTGACTTTGTGTCCGGCCTCATGCTTAAATAAAAAACGTAGTATGAAAATCACTTGAAGAGTCTAGACAGACCGGAAAAACAGCCCACTTTAAACGTCATTGTTTACTTGGAATTCGAACCTCCCTATTGCTGTACTTTTGTTTAATAGATGGCTTCAGGGTTAGTGTACGTAATGGGCCAACACGTTCAATTTGGAAACAATTGGATGAAAGCAAATTCTTATCACAGAGGAAGACCGAGTCCAATTTAGCATTCAAAGGGATATTTGAATTCAATTACTTCCAAATCCATCCAGAATGCGTTTCTTTGGAAAAATCCAACACTGGATTCTCAAATACAAAAAAAGAATTTTGCGTTTCTTTACAAAACAGTGAATTCATGATCACCCGGATCACGGTGGATTAAAGGGACCAAAAAAATCCTCTCTGGGCAAGAATTATTTTGAACCAAAATCAGATTCCGTGTAATTAAAAAAACCCGTGGCCGGCCCGCTATATGCGTCACGCGTATAACGAGGTTTGCACCAGTTACTAAGGTGCAAACATGCGAAATAAATTACTTTTGTTCGGATGATCTGTTCCTTAAAACTTACCCTGCGATCGCATGCGAGACAGTCATTCTCTTCTTTTTCCGCATGGTGAGAGACGAGAGGGAACTTCAGCTCGCAACCGCGGACTGGGCTCGGCCCTAGGCCGTCCTGGCTAACAAAGCGCGAGCAGAGCATGAAACGGGCTCGGCCCTAGGCCATTCCGGTTAAATGAATCAATAATTCCATGGTAAAGTCAGTTGGGCCTTGGAAACATGGTAGCTTTAAGTGTTTGTTTTGCTTCTTTCGTACTTCTGTGGAGTTGTGCTTGGTCATATCGTAAGTTGAAATTCGTCTGTGGTTTGGTAATTCCTTCGCATTGAACTACGTTATCGGAGGAAGATGTATTGCCATCTAATTTTCGTGTTTTGGTTTCACAGGACGGCCACTGGGGGATTTCGTAAACCACTATGAAACTCTGAACTACGACACAACTGCAGTACTCAGGGAACATGGTCGAGTGAGGCGTTCAAGTCCAACAAGCGATCATCGCATTGACATCAATTTAAAAACTCATCAAAGGTAATTCCAGTCATCGAACATTAGTACAGTGCTTTCAAAAACATTAGGTCCAGTCACTAATGAATACCGGCAGTCACAGACGGTTAATCACACGAATTTCGGCTCTGCTTAGCATCGTCTCAATTCAGCGGTGAGCCCCGTATTTTTACAAAATAAGGTTCTCAAGTTTGTTTCATTTGCGTTTGCAGTCCCGAGCCCGAGGGAGCACCCGTAATTACATCTCTGAGGTATTTTTAGGCCAACTTCAGGCGCGATTCCTATCCTGAACAAGTAGCCTAAAGGCGGGATGCTTTGGTCGATGTGCCAATGCCATCAACGTTGATTGGCTATCCGCGTAGCCGTAGGTCTTGTGCGAGCTTAAATTCCAACTCGGTCGGCGATGTAGGAAAGCGACGGTCAGGGAAACTATCGATCATGCTCTTGGCGAAATCTCGAGGCGATGGGAGCTTTTGACGCAAATTTATGGTCAAAATAATATGTTCCTTCGGCCCGATTCTAATCCTGAACAAGAAGCCTAAAGATTTTCACGCAGGATGCTGTGGTCGCTGTGCTAATGCCTTCAACTTTGGATGGCTATCCGCGTAGAAGTAAATCCAAACAGAAATGCGCGCTAACATTCGATCAGTTTTGCGGTTGTATTTTCATCAACAAAAAGATAACAGAATGTGGTTCACGATCAAATTTTGTATACATTTGATGGCGAGAGTATAAACATTGTCAACAATGTTACTGTTGTTTACAAAGGGACACAAAAATGCCTCATTCGGTTCAAATTTCAAGTTTTCATGTAGCTTCAAATTTTTCATTGTGGAAAAGAAATACAGAAGTTGTCTGAGACAATTAAAACGTTGTAGTTTCGGGTCGCACTTGACGGCATTTTAGGCAAAGTGAATTTCAAAGCAGGTTACCATGAATAAATGTGAAATTGCTTTGTTTGTGGCTTTCTATTTCTATCTTCTTAACATGGCTGTAACGATGCACATGTACAGAGAGTCATTCTCCTTTCAAGCGCAAATTTTGATGCTAAAATTGGGATTTTTGAAATTGAATGACAGCTTAATCACAAAAAAAAAAATTAATGTTTGTTTTTCGTGACGTCCTGCTCGGGCAGGACGGCGGCTTCTTTGAAAATTTACCTCCTAGGGACAAGTAGGTCGCACTTGGCGCGGTCAACTGATGACAGGAATGTGACAGTTTTCTTGGTTATCAAAACAAACTTGTCTTGATTTTGTCTTAAGTGCGACCCGGGTTAACCAAACTCTCTACGCTAGCTTGCCAGAAGGATATTAAGGGTATAACATATGAAGTTGTTCAGGAGATGAAAGAGGCAGAGAAAAAATATCACGAGATCCGATGCTTGTGTGCTCACAAGTTTTTAACCGCGCTGAAATGAAAGGCTGTGTATGTTTGTTTGATTTTCTTTTATTGTCAAAGTTCATTTCTAGTTGCAGCTCCTAGCCTTTGGATAAGTTGATTCACTGCAGTCGGCCTTTTAAACTGAGTGAAAAAAGACGCGCGCATTTGAGTTGTCCTTATGCGTCAATTTTGATTGGTTGATTAAAGGAAAAATTCTTACGTCATGCAACAGTGACTTCAGCCCAACCTCGTCCCACTGAGATGAAAGCCTGTGTTGAATATTTCAAATCTGATTCCCAACCTTCTGCCATCAACTTTTTTCAGTTCTTTACGTACTTCAATTCTAAGGCCTTTCTTGAGTTTTTAATCTCACTTTGTGAGGACTGAGAAGGAAACTTTCGCGTGAGTTTTGCCCGAACAACATCTTTGAGGGTCTGATAATGATTCATTTCGTCAATGATGATTTGGAACTCAAAATTCGTTGCCTTGTTACCGTTGATCCCTTTCGACACCAGCCTATTAAAGTGACCATAATATAAAATCAATACCCTGTTTTAAACCTGCCTTATAATTAGTGCCATCATAATTCATACTGATGTATGGTATGAGGTATTAATATTATATTGTAAAGAGCTTTTGTTGATGGTCTTATTGATAATGATTAAAAGTAGCTTGTTAAAAAAAAAAAAACGTAACATACCTGATCAAGACTGGAGGGCAAAAACTATATCCTATTTGAGACAAAAGTGGCCAAAATCGATATCCCATTTCTGACCAAAACGGCTAAAAGACCATACCCTTTGCCGGGGGCCGTACGCACCTGCATAGCCCTATGCAGGGACTATTGTATGGCGAATCGATCTTTTGTTGATTCAAAGAACTGTACGTGACCAAATTGTATACATGTTGTCCGCAAGAAGAAAGCTGTATACAATAATGACTGTGCGCTATCACTCGTTGCGACATGCATATGCCTCTTTTGGTCGCCCCTTCCTATCTTACCAACTGGAATTCTTCATATGGCCACTTGTGTAAATTCCAATTTCTGCAGAAGTGGCCTGCAACCGTAGCATTATGTTCGTCCTTAAACTGTTTTCCGATCACTGAAAGTTTATACACCTTTATGTTACACGTTAATTCATGGCGGTTGGCGGCACGTATTTTGGAGATCTGCAGGCAATCAGCTTCTCTCTGACCGGGTTTATTTTTGATAATTGTTTATATCCTGCAGAAAATTCAAGATACGTCTGAGAAGGGATACGGAACTTTTCACAAATGACTTTACAGTAGAAAATGCTGACTTTGATCCTTCCATGATAGTCAAAGGAGATGTAAAAGGTATACTTGTGTCGATCTACAATTATACTCTCAGCCTTTCGTTGAAATCTTTATAAACTTTTCAGATTGCGACATTTGAAGATAATGCAAAGTTGAATGACTTGAATAGTAAACATACCCTTGCGAGTCGAATTAACAAACGACAACTTTTAAGAACACTCGAGATGAGCATAAAGACCATATAAGCCCCTAATAAGGATAATAACGACATAGGCCCCGAATATTTCATGGTCTGATATCAAAGAGTTTGCAAACATATGAAAACGCTGAATAACATTTTTTTACTTGGTTTCCATTCAGGACATAAAAATTCGTTGGTCCATGGTTTTATATCCGATGATGGCGTATTTGAAGGCAAAATCCAAGTAGGGAATGATGAGTATTTTGTTGAGTCAGCAAAGGAGTATTTCAAGCTCGCTCCTAAAAACTTTCACTCAGTTATCTATGAGAGCAAAGATGTGCACTACCCTCATGCTTATGGTCCAGGATGTGGATTGAATGAAAAAACAAAGAGGTGGATGGATGAGGTTAAAAGGTAAAAGAAATCTTTTCGGGTGTTAAGAAAACCTTGCGGGTATTTTAAAAGCTATATACATGTCATATCTTGGGCCACAGACCCTAAGATGGATCTACTAAGGGTTATCAAAGAGTCGCTTTGACACTAATACTGGAAGGATAATTCAAAGACATTTTGTTGCTAAATCCTTAAACTAATATTATATTGCAGCATTAGGAGTACGTAGAACTATTTAAATATATTTTGACACTATTTTGTGTCATTAGGACGTATAATACCTCACGTTGTTACAATCTGAAATATTACCTTTTGAGGGTATATAAAAAGCTTCCTTATAAAAGCGGTATTTTGTGCAAATATGCATAATTTCATATATTTTTTAATAACATGTTTCTAAATCACTAAGGTCAGCGGTGAAACAAAAAGAGATCGAAAAGAAGCATATTACTAAGCTTGAAGCTTTCACACAGAGATATCGGAGGACAGTTGGAGTTATTGATCCAAAGAAAGTGTCTTGCACCTTAAAGATGAGGGTAAGTTATAAAAAATGCAACGAAAAACTTGTAAAAGGAGGGATGGAATATGTCAGAAAAGAGGAGGGANTTTACTTGGTTTCCATTCAGGACATAAAAATTCGTTGGTCCATGGTTTTATATCCGATGATGGCGTATTTGAAGGCAAAATCCATGTAGGGAATGATGAGTATTTTGTTGAGTCAGCAAAAGAGTATTTCAAGGTCGCTCCTAAAGACTTTCACTCAGTTATCTATGAGAGCAAAGATGTGCACTACCCTCATGCTTATGGTCCAGGATGTGGAGTGAATGAAAAAACAAAGCGGTGGATGGATGAGGTTAAAAGGTAAAAGAAATCTTTTCGGGTGTTAAAAAAACCTTGCGGGTATTTTAAAAGCTATATATTTCATATCTTGGGCCACAGACCCTAAGATGGATCCACTAAGGGTTATCAAAGATACGCTTTTACATCAATACTGGAAGGATAATTCAAAGACATTTTGTTGCTAAATCCTTAAACTAATTTTATACTGCAGCATTAGGAGTACGTAGAACTATTTAAATATATTTTGTCAGTATTTTGTGTCATTAGTACGTATAATACCTTACGTTGTTACAATCTGAAATATTACCTCGTTGAGGGTATTTAAAAAGCTTCCTTATAAAAGCGGTATTTTGTGCAAATATGCATAATTTCATATATTTTTTAATAACATGTTTCTTAATCACTAAGGTCAGCGGTGAAACAAAAAGAGATTGAAAAGAAGCATATTACCAAGCTTGAAGCTTTCACACAGAGATATCGGAGGACAGTTGGAGACATTGATCCAAAGAAAGTGTCTTGCACCTTAAAGATGAGGGTAAGTTATAAAAAAAGGAACGTGCAACGAAAAACTAGTAAAAGGAGGGATGGAATATGTCAAAAAAGAGGAGGGACAAAGGGAACTGAAAGAATGAATGGACGAGCGAACGAACTAATGAATGAATGAATGAATGAATGAATGGAGAAACGAAGCAATGAATGAATGAATGAATGAATGAATGAATAGACGAATGAACGAACTAATGAATGAATGAATGAATGAATGAATGGAGAAACGAAGTAATGAATGAATGAATAAATGAATGAATGAATGAATGAATGAATGAACGAATGAATGAACGAACGAATGAATGCGAGAGTGAGCGAATGAATGAACGAATTAGTGAGTGAGTGAATGTATGAAGGAAGGAAAGAAGGAAGGAATGAAGGTGGCCTCCACTATAAGCCTAGTGGCTTTTTAGAGGTCCCATCGCCGAGTTTTTTTTATTATCATTTTTATTATTATTTACGGAAGGCGAATAAACGATGATGATGATGATGATGATGACAATGATGACGACGACGATGATTGTGGTGATGGCAGATTAATAACGAAGATAAATATGAATAACACAACTTTAATAACGCTTGCAGCCAGCACGCCACGCTACACGACCATAGTTCCTAGCGAACCCAATCCTCCTTATAATCGTCACGAAATGTCTCTTACACTGCATGTAAACACTACATTCCCTTCCTCTGCGAAAAGTTTGCTTACACTAAGAAATAATGAATCAACATTTGAGACTCTAAATTCAGTTGTCTCTCTCTGCAAACAAACAATCTTGATATTGTAATGCCCCTTTGAAACTGTTCACTGGTCTTAAAACTTAGCGAGTTCACTCGTCCAGAACAAAGACTTTAAACTTAGCCNAACGAATGAATGAATGCGAGAATGAACGAATGAATGAACGAATTAGTGAGTGAGTGAATGTATGAAGGAAGGAAAGAAGGAAGGAATGAAGGTGGCCTCCACTATAAGCCTAGTGGCTTTCTAGAGGTCCCATCGCCGACATTTTTTTTATTATCATTTGTATTATTATTTACGGAAGACAAATAAACAATGATGATGATGATGATGGCAATGATGATGACGACGATGATTGTGGTGATGGCAGAGATAAATATGAATAACACAACTTTAATAACGCTTGCAGCCAGCACGCCACGTTACACGACCATAGTTCGTAGCGAGCCTAATCCTCCTTATAATCGTCACGAAATGTCTCTTACACTGCATGGAAACACTACATTCCCTTCCTCTGCGAAAAGTTTGCTTACACTAAGAAATAATTAATCAATATTTGAAACTCTAAATTCAGTTGTCTCTCTCTGCAAACAAACAATCTTGATATTGTAATGTCTTTTGAAACTGTTCACTGGTCTTAAAACTTAGCGAGTTCACTCGTTCAGAACAAAGACTTTAAACTTAGCCGGCATCCGTGTAGTTTGGGATGGTCTTCCATTTGGCTTCGTTGTAACTGCTGTATCTGCAATACTACTGAAATCACTAAACTGTTAGCACCCGGACAAAAACGGTCGATCGCATTTGAATTTTAGGCTTGCTCACGTGACCATTTGGAGCGCCCAGATTGGTCACGTGACATTATGTTCCTTTTCGCGGAGAACAACTTGCTTCGAAATGAATGCTTACGGGAGAACTTTCCACCGTGGGAAATCAATTGAAAAGGATATGAGGTCACTGATTATTGATGATATTTTGAGCGGAGTTGGGGGTGTTTCAACAGAGTACTACCCAGGAAGTTTTAGAGCGATTGGATCAAGGTACAAAGTAAGCAGTGTCACAGTTTCAAACGTATGGAAGACCTTTGTCAAACGGGAGAAAATCTCCCTCGCCATACTGCAGCTAGGGGTCAACCGAAAAGGCTGGAGGAACCAGAACTAGATTTGGTCTAGCTGCTGATATAATGTAGACCTTCGAGAACTTACAAGGACATTAAAGAAAATATCGAGGCGCACTCCACGCAACAGCTTCGATTTCTACAATAGGCTGTGCTGTCCGAGACCGCTTACCGCCACACTTGTTCATGTGACAACGCATTTTCTTTGCTATTTTTGATTTCGGGCTCGATTTCTGTAAACACAAACCTCGGCCTGAACATTGATTCTCTTCCAGTCTGTTCCAGGAACAACTCGCGCACACCTAATCAGTTCGCCCATGAGGGCTTCTTCAAAGTTCACATAGCAGGTTTCATCGTCATCGACGCTTATATCGTGAAATGTTTTGGTTTTATATTTCATTCTGCTTATGAATCCGTAAAAATTGAAATCTTCTGTTGAAGAAGTGAAAAATGTTCCACATTTTTGGAAATCTGTGCCGTAATAAACATTAAACTCTAGATCTTGTATTGATAGAGACCTCTGTGAGCGATGAACGTAGCGATTCGACGTGATTCTGGATCAAGGTCCACCTGGTGGAAGCCCCATTTCAAATCTAATTTAGTAAACACCGAATACCCGTTTAATTTCACTTTCGAATGTTCCAGCTTCTTCAATTGGTTTGGTTTCGCCATATGCAAACAGCTTCTTTTGGCATTTCCGGGAATGGCATTTCACCCCTTTTTTTTTCAGACTCTCCCACGTAGCACGATCCATAATGTTACATGTTACTCCAGAATCACTAAGAACATTTTCCACATGCACACCTCCAACACACAGATCAACAACTCCATTCGAGTCGTTGCTACCCTTAACAACAAAAGCGTAACTGACTCTTCTTCTGGTTTCTCGGTAACGTGATTAGCCCCATCACTACGGTGCTTTTCACTTGAACGATTCTTGGGCGCCATGGACTTACAACAAACAGCAAAATGACCCTCATAACCACACTTATTACAAGTTTTTCCAGGTGCTCGAAAACTCTTGCCTTCCTCAAGATGACCAGTTCCATCACACCGGTAAGATTTCTTATCTCCACGTTTCTTATTATCAGACTTCTCTCCTTTCTTCCCTTTTCCTTAGTGATGATGTTTTACGACGTTAGCCTGCTCATCTGACTCATGGCTTTTCATAGACTGCATGGCTTCGTGAATTCTTGCGGTCTCTTGTAACACAGCCAAAGTTGCAGTACTTGCTTCCTAGAGAAACTTCCTTCGTAGTTTCGGATCTCTGAATTTTTCAATGACTTGATCTCGGATTGCTTCATCCTTATCGGGAATTTCACACGATGTAGCTCTCTGACGCAGACGGCAAACAAACTGATCGATGGTTTGATTCGCTGTCCAGTTGTTGCACATTAAAAGGAACATTGGCTTTACGTGTAAAATAATTATCGAGGGCTGCTAAACAATCCTTGAAGGGGGTTTCTCGATCTTCAGGTACCAAAGTATAAAAGACTTCTTGTAATTCCATACCTCCTGAGTGCAACAACAATGCCACTTTCTGTTTCTCGTTTGTCACACCTTTTGACGCCACATAGAGGTTGAAAGCTCGCTTCCATCGTTTCCATCGAACTGACAGTGAATTCGGCTCTCCCTTGGGGTAAAAGAAATGTAGGCCACGGATTTCCAAGACTAATTTCACACTTCCCCAACCAGCGTTAGTGGACGATACGCTCGATTCTCCCACTTGTTCTATAAGTCATCCATCACGTGTTTTAATACGAATGTAATTAGGCATTTTGAATTTATTCTATTTCCTTTTTTCTCGATCTAAATTAACTGAATTCTGAAAAGCCCATTTGGGAGAATTAATAAATGTATTTTATTGTACTGTGTTGTTGTTCAGTCGTTTCAGTCGATGACATTTCGGTTGTAGGAACAAAACTTCTGTACGAATTTAATCACAGACCACTTTGGAACATCTTCCTCGTCGCCAGATGTGGCGATGGCTGATTATTAACGAAGATAACAATGGATATAACAACAACAACTTTTTAAATCACTTTTGCGGCCAGCACGCCATGTTACACGACCATAGTTCCTGGCGAACCTAATCCTCCATAAAAACGTCACGAAATATCTCTTACACTGCATGTAAACATTACAACGATGATGATGATGATGATGATGATGATGATGATGATGATGATGATGAAGGAACGTATGTTTATACAGACGGATCACCGGATCAATGAATGAATGACCAAAAAATATGACCGAACAAACGAACAAAGAATTTGCCGGTCTAGCTGGTTGTACGAATAAAGTGCAAACCAGTTTTTACAGTTTTTAATATTATGCAGCAAATAGAAGACACTAGCTGTAAACTGTGAAGCAAACATATACTTAAAACAAATAAACCAAGAAGCATTAAGGAAAACAGCATAATTCTAGTGAGTGCCGATGCGTTGTGTTTTCTGCAGGCTGATCATCTGTTCACAGAGCACATGGCTGGAGGTAATAAACAGAGAGCCATGATGCTTATGGCAGAGCACGTAAATGCTGCAAATGCTATTTATAAAAATACAGACTTTAATGGCGATGGCAGATTTGAAGGTAGGTTGGATATGTTATTACAAGAATACGCTTGTAGGGCGACCTTTGTAGTCCGGCCGAAATAAGAAAAACAAGAACAATAACGACATAAAAAACGAAGTGCAAATGTTAACAAGGAATTTTTCTTGTAACTAGTGTAATGCAAGTACGTTTGTAGCGTTTTTTTTTTCTTTTTGCGAGTATTTTTTTTTTTTTCGTTTTTGTGTTTAATAAAGTTTGTTATTTAAAAAAGTTAAAAAAAAACGACACGATGTAGATGACTTTTTAGCTCGGTATTAAACGTGAGTAGCACGAGACTGGAGCCAATGTGGCGCGATGTTGTCTGGGAAGTCGAGCTGGTCCTGTGAACAAGATTACAGAGAAAAAATCGAGCCCCATCTTGGTATCGCCAGGCTAACTAACCTCGCTGGCTTGCATTGGTTGTCAAGTTCATGTAATCACAATTTAATCGCGAATTTTGTGCATTTAACGCGTCGAGATCTCGGCAAACAGCACCAGTCCGGCCAACTGTGCCAGCCCGGCTCAGGTAATCAACCCTAACGCGTAATGTCTTCTGCTGAAGAGAGCTTGTTTGATTTTACATGGCGTGTATGTACACTCTTTATTATTTATAAGAATATGTTTTATAAGAATATTGAGGCTGAAATTTGCGAAATTTTAAGAATATTTTAAGAATAAACCCTAGGAAAGAATGTCACAATTTGTTGTGTTCAAAATTTCTAAATACAACACAATTATAAGTTTTTAACTAAACCGTATAAAATCCTTCCTTTTCTTAAAGAAAAAAAAGAACTAGCCAGAAAGCAACAAAAACAGCACTAGCCGTATGTTCGATGCTCTGCTGCCCACAGGCTGGCTCCAAAATTACTCTAATACCATCCAGACACTCAACACCGTTTCGAAAACAGAAATGTCATACGCTGTAATATAAGAATGTTCACAAGAATATTTTCAGCCTAAAATCGGCAGAGAAATATGAATATTCAGCCTCGGTGGGAAAAACAATATTCTCATAAAAAATAAAGAGTGTATCCATGGAGATGGAGAAAAAATCCAACACCTTACAAAAGGAGGAGCTGGAATTCGGAACATCTTGCTCGGTCCTGATCCCATGCCGTAGTACACTGTATGAAAATGGTTGTATATTCCATCTTGGAATTATGATCAGAATCATTCAAATTACTCCTCAGAATCATTCAAATTGCTCCTTTGCTTGCCCAACATTTTCCGTGGAGTATTGAATCGGACCGGGGATTGTCCCAAATGATCGGTTCGACCTATCATTAAGGTTTTCTTGCAGTTTTATGCTTTAATTTTCTGAAAAACATGATAGAATGATAACTTACACGTGCAGTGGACTATATTTGTTCCTTCCAACTTTCCTTCTTTTTATTTTGAGTGCGTCGGGCGTGTGTCGACTCTCAATGAGAATTACACACTATAGGGTCCGTGAAGATTACGGCCTCTCTCTGAAAACCTTGATCGTGAGGTATTTTTTGTCTTATTTTCAGCCGTGTAATGATTCTCTTATCAGAAGCAAAAACCTATTGGCAGAATATCGGGCCTTAGCCAGTTTGTACAGATCTCAATGGCGATGTGGTTCTCCTTTTGTTCTGTCAAGGCCTCTCGGACCGATGTAATCCTTGTACGACCCTGGCGTTTGATTTATCAGGTTCAGATAACATATTTTTGTGTGGGAATTTAGTTTCCCCCAATTATTCTCCAGTCATGTACTTTTTGTAATTTCTGTGATTTATTTACTTGTACTAGCATGACAAAGTATTATTAAACTTAAACTTAAATTATATTACCGCTTAACAATGCATCGGTGCAACACTGTTAACAGAGAGTAGTTGGCTAATATTCAAGAATATTGGCCCAGAGGGTAATGGCAATTTCATGTTTCCTTTATTCGACCAGGCATTCAGCTCCAAATCCAGAGAATGCAAGCCAATGACAGTTCTGATGCTAAAGTTGCCAGCAACCCTTACAAAGATAACAACATTGCAGTGGAAAAGCTCCTGGTGCTAACCTCTGAGGAAAACCATGATGACGTGTGCCTGTCTTACATCTTTACCTACCGTGATTTTGCTGACGGGTTACTTGGGCTTGCTTGGGTTGCTGAAAGTGGTAATATACAATGAATGAAATTATTGTGCAGTAAAACAGGGTCTGGATGGGGCTAACTGACACCTGCCAAATGGTAATAACATAACTGACTGACAACTGACATTTGCAGCCCGGGGCTGGTACTACCACATATAAGCTCATTATATGGGTATGTGCCCGCGGCGCTGTAAGGCAGTTTAGTCTGGCATAGGGTATAAAAATCAGATAATTTTGGTCTAGAATAGGCTATCATCTACCAGAAAAGTGGCCAGTATATAAATAATTTAGCCTAGAACAGGGTTCTTTACCCGGGATTCCACAATAGAAATTGAAACTTGAAAGTGCCTTTGTAAGGTATTGGTCTAGTTAGCGTATAATATGACTACGTGATAAAGTTTCTGCATGGAAAATAGCTAGTCTGGGATAGGGTATAGATTTTAGGTGCCTCTTGTAGTCTAGAATAGGGTTGCAAAATCAAGCTGATCATTGTCTAGTATAGGATAAGGGTTTCAGTGCCCCAGCCGGCACCCCTACCCGATGATTTTTACAGTACTCCGCGGGATTTGTAGTCAGATTTACTAACAAAAGGCTTTAGCTACTTTCATTCCTTTAAAATCAATTGAAAATAACTTTTTTGGTTGAAATATTATTACTTCAACTTTTTAATTTAATATGCATGCTGCTTAGTTTGTTTTAGACCGAAACCATCTCACTGAGTTTTCTATTTACATTTTGAACCTCATACTATCTGTTGCATGATCCTCAAGGGAAGGCCACGTGCTTCAGGCCACAGGGAAAATCCAAATGTCTTTTGCTTTAAAGCGATTGGTGGCTTCTATCTTCTCGATTCCGATACAGCAATTGCACGTCATAGAATCTGGATACCCATCACTGTCTCGAGTGCTTGATATATCTTCTCAATCGAAACAAAAACTAAGGAGTAAACGGAGAAGTAAAATCGTCAAAATCTATGCTAATTAAGATCGGGTATCCAAACCACCTTCACGGTTGTGATTTTCTTTTTTTTTTAACTTGATGAATTATGAATGAGTTTGAGAAATGGACACCACCAAGCTGCGATCGAAGCGGCGGGGTAAAGATCCACCACTGACCACCGACAACGAGGGGAAAAATTGTTTCAGTCGTGATACCAAAGCAGTGGCATAAAACACCCGAAAAATTGACTCAGAGGGCTGCAAAGATTCTTTCGCAGGTAAATTCCCGTGCAAAATGCATAAAATTGCAAGAAAAATCACTTGATCCATTCGGCGATCAACAAGAGAAACAAGACCCGTTTCCTGTGTTTAATGAAATGACTTAACGGTAAACTCCGAGGAAAACAATTGGTCGATTCGTTGAACTATCGAAAAGATTATTAATTCAGTTTAGTCTTCACAACTTTTGCTGGAAGTTGCTGCCCGAAAGATTCACATGTACATTGAAGTAAATTGTGCATGGTAATCAACTTTTTGTTAAATGAACCACCATCCCGTTTTGTTAAACTTTTTAACACCCTTGTTAAGTCGCTCCTGGGACATTTCTTCAAAAGGAGTTGAAAGGTGTTCTTGATCGCCAAAGCAGCGATTGCGCATAAGCTTTGCTGTCTTTGTGCCAAGAAGTGCTACTTTTGCCGGCGTTTTATTCCGCTGGAAAGCCTTTCTGGGACATAGTCAGACTGTTCACTCATTTTGTAGGTAAAACCTAATTTTGTTAAAAAAGTGCTATATAAGTACACTTCTGAAGCCATGAAAAGTGTTATAATGCGCTATGCATACATGTTGGAAAAGTCGCTCAAAACTGAATCAAAGTAATTAATAATTGACAATCCACGTTTTTTGTTCAGTGTTTCAACAGGTGGTGCTTATGGCGGAATTTGCGAAAAATCAATATATTTCAGATATGGAAAAAGCTTGAAAACGAAAAGCTTGAATACAGGAATTGTCACTTTTAAACAATACAACAAGACAGCGATAAAGAAGGTGTCTCAGATCACTTTTACTCATGAAACTGGCCACAGCTTTGGTTCACCAGTAAGTATATAGAACTATCATAGCACTGAAATCGCTCAACATGGTTCAATATTATATTGCACTGCAATTATGATTAATGTTTTCTGAACTGACGACATTGGGAAGGTAGGCAAGTAGGTAGGTAGGTAGGTAAGTAGGTAGGTAGGTAGGTAGGTAGGTAGGTAGGTAGGTAGGTAGGTAGGTAGCATATAGGCAGGCAGGTCGACTGATAGCCTGCGTAGCTTGGCGGTATTTAAGCAATTTGAGCACCCTAAGACAGCAGCAAAACCGCGATAATGAGCGCCAAAGCCACGTTAACAAGCGGCGAAGCCACGAGGAGCCTTGGAGTGAGACAACTGAGAAATCCCCTGCAGGGATGACCTTTGTTAGTCCAGTACGCTGGCGTACGGGCCATTGCCATTGGATCAGAAGGCTAACACATCAATCAAAATTTTCGCTAATCTCCCAAGGGACAGCTTCAAAGAACAGCACTGATTACAACGCAGATCTTTAGCGTGTAAACAGGAAATAATTGAGAAAGCGCTGTCGAAAGCGTTATCGCGCCTGAATATCTTTCGCGAATATCGCGAAATTGAACTGCCAAACACGAGCAAGAAACAGCCGTATACAATTTGCCTCATGGGAGAGATGTGATGGCCGTTTTCCCACCAAACTTTGGCAAAAGCATGATTTTTACCGTGTTTCACCGTCTGCGCTCACCAGACGAGAATTGTCGTCTAGGAGAACCAGTATCGTTGTCATCTAGCTGTTAAAGAGCACCATCGACAACCAAATTTCATGTAATCCAGGCAGACGGTTCCTCGCACCTTCGCCCCTCGTTTTCGCGGCTTCGCCGCTTTGTGCACTTGCCCTAAAATTGCTTAAAAAATTGCTTAAACCGCCGAGCTACGCAGCCTAGTCGGCTGGTAGGTAGGCTCGTATCGGTAATCAATCACTATTCATTTAGTGCCGCGAGGAAAGAGACTCTGAGAGAAAGTGCCTCGACAAACGGCACACAAAACAAAAACGCTCGGATTCCCAGCTGGATCTTTTCACGAAATTTTAATGTATCTTTTATTTGCTACCACAGCACAATTTTGCATATATCTTTTAGGTTTGAACGATTACAATAGGTAAAATCATTTTTGGATAGTTTAAAACTGATTAAAATAACATCGTGTGGTTCACCAAAGCCATATCTTACTTTGTGCTGCTACGAAGCCTTGGTAACATCTTATTTATAACAAACCATGGAAAAATATTGATCAACGTTGCATGGAGATCATTCCAGTGATATGTATGCCACCTTTGCCATTGTTTTTGTTTTTGTTAGTGGTAGTGAAGAGTCACAACAAATTCGCGAATTCGTATATTCAATGGTTTCTCTCCGCTTTCAGCATGACAGTCCCTCTAGATCTAACTGTGTCCCTGGAGGAAGAGAAGGAAATTACATTATGTTTGCCGGAGCCACGAGTGCAAACCTTAAGAACAACCGACTCTTTTCTCCATGTAGCAGAGAATCAATAAATGATGTGATGGATGTAAAAGGAAGATGCATTGCTGACAGATGCTGCTTTAGGGGTAATAAAAGAAAAACACTTACCGGCTGGGCAATTAAGTCTCGTAATGGGTGGATGCGAAAAGCATTTCTCGATAACTATAATCATATAGAGTAAGCTTTTGTAGACTCTACCCAGAAAAAATAGCATAGTATGAAACAAACATTGCTCACGTTTTTTTTCGCAAACTTTGCCGCGGATTTTCCAAGTTATGCCAGTTACAACCGAAAAAACAGAAAGGCCCCAATGTTTTGACAGTTTAATCTGACGAGACAATGGAAACAGCAGCAGCAACAACAATAAACAGCAACAGCAGCAGCAGCAACGACTACAAACAAAACAACAAACAAACAAGTCAAGATCAAAGTTGTGTCCTTATATTTCAGTTATGATTTGACACTATGTATAGTTCCGATCTTCATTTATTGTACACAAGCCTTGAAGAAACGCACGCCAGTTCGGTTTTGTTGGAAGACAGAATTGGAATCCGAAGTATTATTAGATTGACAAGGTTAACAATATGGTGGACGTATTTGTATGCAACTGACGTCCAGGCCAATTATTTTTGTTAGTGGAGCTTGAACCTGTGCTTTCATTCTTTCAGGCTATGTGACTGGTTTATCACAACTTGTTTTAAACGTGTCGAGAGAAGGAAATTTGATCTCGAAATTAACAAAATGTCTTTCTATGACAAACGCTATCCATGGTTACGCTCTACTTAGGGGTTCACTGGTAGAAAAGGAAAATCAGTCACCAAATGGCTTGTCATTTACAAAACTTCCAAATTTTTCTCAACATCCTGCGCTAGATCAGGTTCGGCGAGGGAAGTTAATCATAGAGTGCACAGGTAATCGTTACTCCCCGGCTTGACCTTGCACTTAACGTGAACACCGTTCCCTTCAAGTCCTGAAAGGTGCACCTTTATTGACATTCAGTTCATGGTAAACATTTTTTGGTGTTTGTCTCTTTATTTCTGTAGATGGCGAAGGAGCTATCTGTGGTAACAAGGTTGTGGATGAAGGTGAAGAGTGTGATTGTGGATATATAGGAGATAATTCATGCAGGATGGATGTATGCTGCATAGGTCGTAACGCAAACAGTGGTTGCAAACTTAGGCCAGGGAAAATCTGCAGGTTTATATCTATACATTGCAGTTTGTGTTTATTTTTTTGTAACATATACGGCTCTGTACACGAGGAAGAACAGGAGGCACGAAAGGCGTGTTGTTATTGTATTTTGTTACAGGGACAGGAGTGTTTTACTGAAAACTAACACATTTGTAGAATCCATAAATCACTACATCCGAGCCCCGGGTGGCGTATTTTTTGTATGTTACTCTCACGAGTGGTATATCATGAAATGATGGCATGATTCCCGACTTAACAAATTGTGNGTAGGTAGGTAGGTAGGTAGGTAGGTAGGTAGCATATAGGCAGGCAGGTCGACTGATAGCCTGCGTAGCTTGGCGGTATTTAAGCAATTTGAGCACCCTAAGACAGCAGCAAAACCGCGATAATGAGCGCCAAAGCCACGTTAACAAGCGGCGAAGCCACGAGGAGCCTTGGAGTGAGACAACTGAGAAATCCCCTGCAGGGATGACCTTTGTTAGTCCAGTACGCTGGCGTACGGGCCATTGCCATTGGATCAGAAGGCTAACACATCAATCAAAATTTTCGCTAATCTCCCAAGGGACAGCTTCAAAGAACAGCACTGATTACAACGCAGATCTTTAGCGTGTAAACAGGAAATAATTGAGAAAGCGCTGTCGAAAGCGTTATCGCGCCTGAATATCTTTCGCGAATATCGCGAAATTGAACTGCCAAACACGAGCAAGAAACAGCCGTATACAATTTGCCTCATGGGAGAGATGTGATGGCCGTTTTCCCACCAAACTTTGGCAAAAGCATGATTTTTACCGTGTTTCACCGTCTGCGCTCACCAGACGAGAATTGTCGTCTAGGAGAACCAGTATCGTTGTCATCTAGCTGTTAAAGAGCACCATCGACAACCAAATTTCATGTAATCCAGGCAGACGGTTCCTCGCACCTTCGCCCCTCGTTTTCGCGGCTTCGCCGCTTTGTGCACTTGCCCTAAAATTGCTTAAAAAATTGCTTAAACCGCCGAGCTACGCAGCCTAGTCGGCTGGTAGGTAGGCTCGTATCGGTAATCAATCACTATTCATTTAGTGCCGCGAGGAAAGAGACTCTGAGAGAAAGTGCCTCGACAAACGGCACACAAAACAAAAACGCTCGGATTCCCAGCTGGATCTTTTCACGAAATTTTAATGTATCTTTTATTTGCTACCACAGCACAATTTTGCATATATCTTTTAGGTTTGAACGATTACAATAGGTAAAATCATTTTTGGATAGTTTAAAACTGATTAAAATAACATCGTGTGGTTCACCAAAGCCATATCTTACTTTGTGCTGCTACGAAGCCTTGGTAACATCTTATTTATAACAAACCATGGAAAAATATTGATCAACGTTGCATGGAGATCATTCCAGTGATATGTATGCCACCTTTGCCATTGTTTTTGTTTTTGTTAGTGGTAGTGAAGAGTCACAACAAATTCGCGAATTCGTATATTCAATGGTTTCTCTCCGCTTTCAGCATGACAGTCCCTCTAGATCTAACTGTGTCCCTGGAGGAAGAGAAGGAAATTACATTATGTTTGCCGGAGCCACGAGTGCAAACCTTAAGAACAACCGACTCTTTTCTCCATGTAGCAGAGAATCAATAAATGATGTGATGGATGTAAAAGGAAGATGCATTGCTGACAGATGCTGCTTTAGGGGTAATAAAAGAAAAACACTTACCGGCTGGGCAATTAAGTCTCGTAATGGGTGGATGCGAAAAGCATTTCTCGATAACTATAATCATATAGAGTAAGCTTTTGTAGACTCTACCCAGAAAAAATAGCATAGTATGAAACAAACATTGCTCACGTTTTTTTTCGCAAACTTTGCCGCGGATTTTCCAAGTTATGCCAGTTACAACCGAAAAAACAGAAAGGCCCCAATGTTTTGACAGTTTAATCTGACGAGACAATGGAAACAGCAGCAGCAACAACAATAAACAGCAACAGCAGCAGCAGCAACGACTACAAACAAAACAACAAACAAACAAGTCAAGATCAAAGTTGTGTCCTTATATTTCAGTTATGATTTGACACTATGTATAGTTCCGATCTTCATTTATTGTACACAAGCCTTGAAGAAACGCACGCCAGTTCGGTTTTGTTGGAAGACAGAATTGGAATCCGAAGTATTATTAGATTGACAAGGTTAACAATATGGTGGACGTATTTGTATGCAACTGACGTCCAGGCCAATTATTTTTGTTAGTGGAGCTTGAACCTGTGCTTTCATTCTTTCAGGCTATGTGACTGGTTTATCACAACTTGTTTTAAACGTGTCGAGAGAAGGAAATTTGATCTCGAAATTAACAAAATGTCTTTCTATGACAAACGCTATCCATGGTTACGCTCTACTTAGGGGTTCACTGGTAGAAAAGGAAAATCAGTCACCAAATGGCTTGTCATTTACAAAACTTCCAAATTTTTCTCAACATCCTGCGCTAGATCAGGTTCGGCGAGGGAAGTTAATCATAGAGTGCACAGGTAATCGTTACTCCCCGGCTTGACCTTGCACTTAACGTGAACACCGTTCCCTTCAAGTCCTGAAAGGTGCACCTTTATTGACATTCAGTTCATGGTAAACATTTTTTGGTGTTTGTCTCTTTATTTCTGTAGATGGCGAAGGAGCTATCTGTGGTAACAAGGTTGTGGATGAAGGTGAAGAGTGTGATTGTGGATATATAGGAGATAATTCATGCAGGATGGATGTATGCTGCATAGGTCGTAACGCAAACAGTGGTTGCAAACTTAGGCCAGGGAAAATCTGCAGGTTTATATCTATACATTGCAGTTTGTGTTTATTTTTTTGTAACATATACGGCTCTGTACACGAGGAAGAACAGGAGGCACGAAAGGCGTGTTGTTATTGTATTTTGTTACAGGGACAGGAGTGTTTTACTGAAAACTAACACATTTGTAGAATCCATAAATCACTACATCCGAGCCCCGGGTGGCGTATTTTTTGTATGTTACTCTCACGAGTGGTATATCATGAAATGATGGCATGATTCCCGACTTAACAAATTGTGTTGAATGAACTTGGTTTGTATTCAGAATAATGACGGCCGCTAGTAGATTTGTTTTGTTAATTGTGTTTTCCGAATTGATGACCACGAGAAAACCGAAAGAAACGATACGCGATGCAAGAAACAGAGGATATTACGCCGGTGAAACGACAAGCGACCATCAAATACTTCGTGCTTTGTGTGCGAAAGGAGTGCCACAAGCCCTCATCCATCACAGTTTTATCCAAAACATCGACCGCTATCTGCCAAAAAGTAACTATGGATTCTATGTAATTTTGAGTACTTAAAACTAGTTCAGAATAATTTTGCTTGATTGCATGTTCCAGCTGCCGATTGAGTCATTAACTACTTGTAGAAACCGCCTTGTATTTGCAAACGTGATTCTCCTAACCTGTATTTTTATTCTCCATATAAGTAAAATGAACAGTACACGTTAGCTCAAAGATATGAATTTTACGTTCCCGTGTCGACTCATATCTTCTCGCCACAGTGTAATATCTTCTATATGTTTCCCGAGTGAAACACTCAGGGTGGTTGTACTACGATCGCAAATTTTTGCCACCTTTTCAAGATGGCAGCAGATTATTTATTAGAGGTTTCTAATTAAGGGCCGGGTCGCACTAGAGGGAATTCAAACATTTCCAATTTTTGACGAGGAAAACAATTGGCAAAAATTTCGCAAGTACCAAATTTTGGCAGGGGTGGCATTGGACCAACATGTTGGAACCAAAACGTTACTGATTTGAAATATACGTCACAAGATCTCTATTTCTCAATTAAGTATTTTATTAGAAAGTTTAACTCTTCGCAGATTTTTCTCCACGCTGCATGTTCTTGACTCTACGCACTGCAGCAACTCGTGATTTTCGGCCCATAATTGGACGGGCAGATTTTGCTCGGTTTGCGTTTTTGTTGTTGCTTGCGCCACTTGCGATCGAAGAAGATTGTCTTGCTGAAGCCATCTCTTCAAATTGCTGCCAGTAACCAGATCCAGGGTACGGTTCATAAGAATTTGAATAAAAACGCCGCTCATATTCCTCGTTTGCATTGAAATAACTTGTAAAAAGTGTCAGATGGACCGGGTAAAAAATGATTTTGTCCCGCCATCGCACGCGCCAAACTGGACAAGCCGTCAAAGTTGTTTTCTCGCCGTAATTTTATCCAGACTTGTTTTAAAAAATATGACAGTTAAATGGTTAAAAAAAAAATTGTTTGCTGTGCCAAAATTTGGAAGCCTCCGAGGCAGCACTTCGGCTTGTTTGAAGATTGGCGAAATTTTGGCAATCCGCGAAAATTTGGCAAGTTTTTGAAACTGGGGGTCGCACTTATTTTGCGCGACTTGTTGACAGATTTATTACTTATACAAACAAAACTGGCTCTAGTGCGACCTGGGCCTAAGGGAATTTTAATTTTACTATTGTTAACTTTAAATTTATTGTTCGTGAATGCTTCAGTAATGTTTTTACATTCTGTATACTTTTTTGAATTATTAATCGTTTTGTTGTTGTCCATACTATTTCGTCATAACAATTATTTTTCTCGTTATCTCGTTACAGTCCTAGTCAAGGTGTTTGCTGCAGTGATTACTGCACCCCCCGGGTTACAAACGTTTTGTGTCTTAACGTTACAGAATGCAGTGATAGCTCCTACTGCAAATATCCTTTGAGAATATGGGCTTATTGCGTTCGAGAGAACGCAGCTCTAATCGGGTAAGGCAGAAAAAGTCGAGATTTGTGTATTTATCTTTCTGTGGACACCAAGTTGGCCCCCCAAAAAATTCTTCAGGGGCGAATGACGTCATCTCCATGTTCGTCCATGTGCTTTCTTTCGAGTGCTGTGCAATATTGCGGGATTTCGAGTGTCGAGGCAGCTTTTTGTAGACTGTAGCGGATAAGTTGTTTATTTAAATTTCGAAGTCAGCGTTAATGGCATTTAAAAACCTCGCGACATGTTTTCACGAAATGTGTAACGACTTTTCGTACGAACGGAAAGCTGTAGTTTGGCTGCGTGTTGTGTACCCTCTTCTCTTCGACCAAAACCAACGCTGCTTTCTACTGAATGAATCAAAGGAGGAAATGTGTAATTTCACTTTGCTGGCCTAGACATCTGTGCACAAAACATGTAACATAAACCCAACGAAAGTGTTTACATAGGAAAAGAGTTTAACTCCCACAGGATTGCTTTGGTACACCAGCATGTCTTCCGTTTCATTGTTTCGGAAGTGAAAATGCCCTGTAGCTGTTACCATAAAGCCAAGGCGATTCAAAATAGTGTTAGTAAACAAAAGATTTCTCCTAATTTTGGTAAAAAAGCAGGTCGTCTCGCATATCGACGGAACAAGCATCGTTTGTGTCGATTTCGGCACGGGACGTGAATGTGATAGATTATCTTGAAGTCATTAGTGGAATAAGGAGATGTTGTACTTTGCCGACTCCAAGCGTCAAGATGGCTAGCTGTCGTATAAGATTCTGAATACAGCGCTGATAAAAAGCCTTACAATAACACTAACAAAAGTAAGAATTTTGAGGAGGCGAATTTTAGTCATTTTAAGCGGCTCGTCGTGACCTTGAAAGTTGATCCACAGAAGTATAATTGGCCTCAAATGACTTGTAAACCCCTCAAAAGTAAATGTCCAGGTTGTGAACTGAAGTCTTATATACATGAAATGCGAATTGTACAGGGCGAAGTTTGTGAGAAGGTACGAGTCACTTATAGATTTTGCTTGTTTTTCGCGACAAGTGGGGGCGGTAACTAATTTGTGAGTTTTTTTGACAGGTTTAAAAACACCTGATTTTAAGAAATATATGGACGAATTCGAAATATGTCGCAAGAAATTTGTTTCTTCAACATGTGCCACATTTCGATTTGGCTCGGTCTTATGGACATTCCTTCTCATTTTTGAAGCCTGTCAGAGTTTCATATCTATTCTTGCGGAATGTTGGAAGATCCTCGTAGAACCATTCGTAAAATGATTACGTGAGCATAATAGCAATCAAGAAGAAACATCATGCCGGAATTAAACTGGGAACAATACAGAGGGGGGCACTGGGGTTTGCGGTATTGGACAAGTTTTCCTGCGGTATTTCGGTAATTTTAATCTCGAAATGCGTGGTATTTCAGTATTCTCCGAACCTGGAGGATGTGGTTTTTCAGCATTTGAGACAGTATTAGAAAATAATTCAAAAGTCCTGCAACGTTTCTCGAGCCTTTCCAGTTTCCAATTGGACATTCCTAATGAAACTTAGTTCTCGTGGCTACGGAGAACTGCAATTCCTTGTGCCGCAATCGGAAGCGGGTAATTTTTTTTTGTTAATTATAAGCCAACACGCCAATCATGGGATGTCATTTATTTTGATTATGTTGTCTGAATGCAAAATTACCTCACTTAAAGGTTAGGGTTAGGGTTAATGTTGAAGTATTGCGGTATTTGCCGAATTTATTTTGCGGTATTGCGGTGCTCAGAACCCCCCCCAATGTCCCCCTCAGTACATGTAAACACAAGATTGCTATATTAGTGCTGCATGGCACTATATTTTTTCCAACGATTTGAGATATGTTTAGTGTGTTGTTCCTATCAGCGTTTCCTTAACGTTTCTCAGTGGAATTAATAGCACCTGCCCAGTACCAAGACCTAAACCCGACCTCAGTGAATGTAACTATGGAAGACAAGTATGTATGTCAGGGGTAAGTACTCACTTTGTTTCATAATGTGTAGCGTTTTGGTGGTGGTATCTAAATCTTACACAGCTTGAAATTTACGTGGGCCAACAAGTAATGCTATCATTGCTATCATTGTAATTCAACTATTCGCGTCTCTCTTAAGGTTTTTAACTTTTATTATGTTGTATCAGTTTGCATTCATAGTATTGTTATCACTTTTAGAATTTCATCGTAGCTTTCAACTTTTTCATTAGGTTTGTAATTTTACTTTCCGAGGGCCACAAGTTTATTAGCCTTTGGGTATTAAGAGCCAGTGCCCATAATTATGGACCAAACAACGGCACAAGTCGAAAAATCGATTTTGCTCATTTTTTGCTCATAGATTGGCCCTAGCTAGTAAACAAACGGACCATAGTTAGTTTCTGCTAATGCAGCTTTTTTGGGGAGAAATTT